TACGCCCCTGCTCCGCCCCCCCCCCTCCCTCCCCTCACCGCCTGTCACAAGGGCCAGCCCACCCCTCCTCGCTCGCGTTCGAGCCGAAATTAAGGGGGGTGAAACACATAACCCCTAAGGAAAATACATAAGTCTGCGCGCGGAAAAAAAAGTTACATGTATGACAAGGACCGTCAAGTCGAGTCACACGAGCAAAATAACGCAAATAAGAATAACACAAAAAGATCACGCAGCCGTCTCGCACTGGCTGCTGGAGTGAACTGCGGAATATATTTTTACGAGACTCGCAAGGATTTTCGCTGCCCTCTTCTTTTTCTCTTCTTTGCCGTGGTGGGTTGTGTGGCTGGCTGCTGCTGCTGCTACAAGTCGCGTCAAAGAGCCCCAACGACAGCAACGCACAGCACAGCAGCCCCGCCGCACACAAACAGCATCGCTTACGGCCCGCGCGTTTGCTGCTTGTCTGTCTGCTGCCATGATTTGCTAAAAAAGCCGCGGGGATGAGGAAGGAGTGGAGGGAGGGGGAGGGGGTAAGGGTCGTCCGGGTGACTCACGCGGCGGCCGCATGCACCGCCATGTCGTATAAGAGCCATCATTTCATTGAGGCTGTTTATGCTTCCCGCTCATGGTTTTATGTCGCGCGCTTGTCGGAGAGAGAGGGAAGGAGAGAGAGATGCTGTGAACAGCATTTATTGGCCCCTCCGCTGTCTGCATAGAGAGGGCACGGCTCGCCCTCAGCGCACCCTCCGCAAAGTTCCCCTGCTCTCTTTTACTGCCCTTGCCTATCGCTCTCTGTCTGTCTTTCTCTCTTTCACACTTTCTCTCTCTTTCTCGCGAGGTCGCCTCCCTCGCTACGATGTATTCTTTGGGCCACCCCAAGTCGACACAATCTTTACTCAGATAGAAATCAGTGCTGATTTCGGGTGGGGTCAGCAGTACCCCTTTAAAAATGGAACGGGTGCACGACGGGTGCGACACGGGCGCAACCCGGGTGCGAAGCGGGCGCGATTCGGGAGCGCCACGAGTGCGGC